TTCAGGAAAGGATAAAGTTCGAGTGGCTGATTGCTCTTTGTCTTTGGTATCTGGGAAGGATTCTACTTGTCTCGTCATCACTTTTTCTCTCTTCTATTCTTCATGTTCAAAAATTTTCAAAAAATTTACTCTTGGTTGGCAGTGTTACTAATGCTTTAAATTGCTATGTAATTTTCTTTCCTACCCATTGTGTTTTTCAGGACTTGGGCACAAGGAGAACGATTGGAAGTGGTAAAGCACTTGGTGTTTTGTATTTTTTGGATGCTACGCTAGAAGAATTTTTTCTTTATCATCTAATCGGGCTTTTCTGGTTGTTGGTGGATCTTCATTACATTTTTACATCAGTGGCATCATTTCTTAAGGCACCCCTCTTTTAGCATTTTAGAAAAGTTGTTTCCTCAATTAGTGAAAGATTGTCTTTGGGGTAGTTTTGTTTGTGATGCTTGTGAGTTGGCCAAAAATAAACGTTCTTCTTATCCTTCAGTTAATAAAAGAAGTCTTTTTCCTTTATGCTTATGCATACTGATGTGTGCCTTTGGTTGTTTCTCTTTCGAGTTATTGGTGGTTTGTTATCTTTATTGATTGTTATTCTCATATTACTTGGGTTTTTGTACTTCGTGTTGAGAGTGAGGTTTTCATTTGCTTTACCACTTTTCATAAGATGGTATCTACTCAATTTGATGGCAGAATCAAAATTCTTTATAGTGACAATGGAATTGAATACATTGATGGGGCTTTTGGGGCTTATCTTGTGGAGCATGGTATTTTGTATCAAACTAGTTGTGTTGGCACACCTGAACAAAATGGGGTTATTGAATGGAAAAATCGCTATCTACTTGAAGTTGCCTGCTCACTTCAGTTTACAATGAATGTTTTTAACCCTTATTGGTGTGATGCTTTTCTTACTGCATGTTATCTTATCAATTACATGCCTTTTAGTGTTCTTCAATTTCAATTCCCTTTGATGCTTCTTCCCATAGCTTCTTATACTTCCTCTCTTGCTTCCAATCTAAGTAGCACGGACACAGACACGGACAAGCGACATGACACGGACATGTTGACATGTCAATTTTAAAAAAAATGCATGACACGATATGCTTTGGACATGTCAATATTGTTATGTCATACGTATGAATAATTTATCTAGTGATAATGAAAAACGTGTAACATAACACTAATTATGTTAAAAGTTATATATTTCATAAGAAACATTAAGATATCATTCACGTAACAATTACATTCTGGATAATACAAAACAATTATAGAACGTTGTAATACACATTGTATTAATCTTGTAAATGTTTCAAAGCATATTTAGAGTGCATAAGTTGTATTATGAAAAATTTAGAACATTGTTATTATGAAAAGATTCATCAAATAGGACATTTTGGATGATTGAAAAATAATCTTCGAAGTGTTTGCAAAGTGTCGGTAAAGTGTCCAATATTATGAATTTGATTCTATAATTAAGACATGTTGAAGAAGTGTCAAACACGGTTTTTAAAGTGTCCGGAGAGTGTTGGTGTTGGACATGACACACTTCATTCGCAAAAGTGTCTATGCTCTTGGCTTCCAAGATATTTGGGTATGTTTGCTTTGCTTATTTCTATAAGCCTAATTATGGGAAACTTGACCCTAAGGCTATGAAGTGTGTCTTTATTGTGTAATCTCCTTCTCATAAGGGCTATAAGTGCTATGATCCTCATTCTCGTAAGGTGTATGTTAGCATGAATGTCACCTTTCGTGAATTTGAATCCTTTTTCCCTTACTCTCTATCATCTCTTTAAGGAGAGAGTAATATAGTGAAGAGATGACTTCTTAGCAAGCCCTGGACTTATCCTTTCTTTTTCTTATTCAGAGGGCTATTATTTGTGGTGAGGGAGAGGAGGATGTAAGTTGTGTTGACGAGGAGTTTGAGTCAGAGGTAGTGGTTGGTGTTGAGGGGAAGCTTGAGTCTCACATTGATGGGCGGTTGAATTGGATGAATCTCAAGACCTATTCACGGCGTTTGAAAGAACAACCTCTAATGTGCCACCAAGGCAATTGTCATCCTTGCCACCAGTTGTAGAGCCTCTAATTCAACTTTCAAGTAATAACTCTACTATTGATACTTCTGTTAAAAAGGCTTTGGATGATAGCGACTCTAATCTTCTTATTGCTCTTTGAAAGGGGGTTAGGACTTGTATTCAACATCGTATATCTAAGTCTGTTTCATACGATTCATTGTCTTCTTCATATTGTGCCTTTATTTCGTTTCTATCCTTTGTTTGTATTCCACGAGGTTGGAAGGAAGCTGTCAATGGTCCTAAATGGAAAGAGGCTATGGTAGAAGAGATGAAAGCCTTCAGCAAAAACGATATGTAGATATAGTTTCTCTTGCTAATGGAAAGAAACCAGTATCAGGAAGAGAAACTAGTAGCTTGTAGGTGGGTGTTTACTATAAAGCATAAAGCAGATGGGACAATGGAGAGCAACAAGGTAAGGCTTGTTGCCAAGCGATTCACTTAGATGTATGTCATTGACTATCAGGTGATCTTTGCTCCATAGCAAAGATGAACTCCATTTGTACCCTTATGTCTTGTGCAACTAATTTAGGGTGGCCATTACAATAGCTTGATGTCAAAAAGTTATTTCTCCAAGTTGATTTGTAGGAAGAAGTATATATGATTGTACCATCAGGATTCTCATCTCAATCTATTGTTGGAGAAGTTCGTAGGTTGAAGGAGGCTCTTTATGGGTTATAATAGTCTCCAAGAACTTGGTCTGGTAGATTTTTGAGAGCTATGTTGATGTTTGGGTACAAGTAGAGCAATGCGGATCACACTATGTTTGTTAAACGAGACAAGGATAAGATCAATGTTCTTATTGTATATGACGATGACATAGTGGTAACTGGTTGTGACATAGAGTAGTTGACTCAATTCAAGGCGAGACTGGTTAAAGAATTTAAGACCAAAGACCTTGGTCCTTTGTATTTTCTTGGGATTGAAGTGGCTAAATCAACGAAGGGCATCTTTATTTCTCAGAAGTACATTCTTGATCTTCTTGATGGACAGGTATTTTGGGTTGTAGACTAGCAGATTCCCTAATTGAAGGTAATCATTGTTTGAAAAGTGGTGTTGGTAATCCTGTAGATAAGGAGAAATGCTTGGAGGCAACTCATATTTATCTTATACTTTACAAAATATCGCGTATGTAGTGGGAGTGGTTAGTTTATGCATGATCCTCACTCAGTGCATCTAGATGCAGAATATCACATTCTTAGGTATCTAAAATCAACTCTTGGAAAGGGGTTTTGTTCTCCAATCATGGTCATTTGAGACTTGAGGCTTTCACTGACGTAGAGTGGGCAGGTTGAGCTGATGATAGAAGGTCTACTTCAGGTTACCGTGCCTTTGGTGTAGTAAGAAGTAGACAGTTGTGGCTAGATCCTTATTAGGAGATTTGTGGATTTGTAGTGGTGAGCCCATGAAGTTGTACTGTGATAACAAGGCTGCTATTAATATTGCTCATAATCTTGTCCAACATGATAGAATCAAGCATATTGAGATTGACAGTCACTTCATCAAGGAGAAATTGAATAAACCTTTCATTAAATTCAGCTGATCCAACATGATAGAATCAAGCATATTGAGATTGAGAGTCACTTCATCATGGAAAAGTTGAATAAACCCTTCATTAAATTCAGCCGATCCAATTTTAACATCATCCTTTGCCTTGTAGCTCTCTTTGGCAAGCGCAATCTTTTGTGGAGCCAAACTAAGTTGGGATATCCTTTGTCTTGGGTTGTGTGGAGTTATTCTATACCTTTTGACACTCACATCTGACCATTGTTCTTTAAGAAAAGGGAGAGCTCTCACCCAAATTAGTGGAGTCTTTATAATTTTTGTGGAGCCAAACTAAGTTGGGATATGCTTTGTCTTGGGCTGTGTGGAGTTATTGTATACCTCTTGACACTCAATCTGACCATTGTTATTTAAGAAAAGGGAGAGCTCTCACCCAAGTTAGTGTAGAGTCTTTATATGTTTTAGTGGTTTATTGGCATAAAACATTTGAAGTTGGTCTTAATAATGCATAAATCTTTTTGGATGAAATAATATGTTCGATACATATGACTTTTAAGCATGTGGTAGCTTGTCATGGTCTTTTCTTTTGTTGATGTTATCATCAATGTCACCTTTCTGTTGAAGGATTTTTCGGCTGCTTGATACAGACTGCCTTCTCTGGCCTATAGGAAAACTGATATGATGGTTGCATCTAATAATGTATTCCATGCGTTCTTTTGTACAAGAAGCTAAAAATTATCGGAGGGAAGTTACAGGATGGGGAAATGATATCTTCCTGACTAAATTTGTTTGTTTCTACCTTCATATTGGCCAATTTCGGAGTCCAAAAGAGCCAAGTCAGCATTTTGGAAGATTTTCCACTCCTGACATTGTACAATAATTGCTCAAACCACCCCTACCGTTCTTGTAATATACATTAAATTTCTACACAGGATGGGGAAATGATATCTTCCTGACTAAATTTGTTTGTTTCTACCTTCATATTGGCCAATTTCGGAGTCCAAAAGAGCCAAGTCAGCATTTTGGAAGATTTTCCACTCCTGACATTGTACAATAATTGCTCAAACCACCCCTACCGTTCTTGTAATATTAATATTTGTGATTAATTCTTCTTATCAAAAAATTCTGTATTTCTTGATTTGCTTCCTTTCAGTATGTGGAAACACCAATTTTGAATCTATTTACTGTTTCCCTACTGAAGGTTTGGTAGAAGAAACAATGATTCTGCCTCATGATTCCTCTTGTTCTTCAAACACTGGATTGATAAGGATTACCCATGTAACACTTCAAGATAAAGCTTACTTCAGTATATTAATCTTTCAAACCTACCTGTTTAGTATTGTGTATATTTTCAGTGCATAGTGAGTATGAGTTGATGCTTGGTTTTATTTATAATTTCTTTTTGCTATTAGTTACTTTGTTTTCTGTTTGTAGGTTAGGATCTGTGACAGTTCTTCTCTTTATGCCCTCTGCCGGTCGTGGTTGAGGAATGGTTTTCCTGAAGAAAATCAGGTTTGTATCATGGAAAACCTACAATTGTTTGCGTTTCATGTGTGCTATTTTCTTTTATTGCTATTGTAGTCAAGAATGCATATTACTTCTCAGATGTCATGGCAAGAATAACTATTTTAGAAGCTTCTCATATTTTAATTAAAAAAATTGTTTAATCCTATGCTCAATTCAATTTGATCATTTAAATGTACCAGGGTTAAGGAAGCATTAAATATTTTTCATTATCCTAGAGTTTTTTCAAAGGTGAAAAAATTATGTTCCCCATCCAACTCTCCCTACAACCCACGAGAAAATGAAGTGTTAGATTGTTTAGAAAGGCAGATTTGTGAAATGGCTCCAGAAAGCTTTTACTTCCATTTGGATGCGACAAAAAGAAAGTAGAAATGAATTTAATGGTGGGAATTACTTTATCTACATCCGGGAATTAACTCTCTAAAAATATGCCTTTTTATTTTTATTTTTATATTTTTTTATGCTTAATTCAAAATTTATACCATATATGCCTTCTATTACTTGTAAAAGACTAGAAGGTCAAATACATTATAGAACTTGGCTCAGCCTCCTATCAGGTGTGGTTTTAAGTTTTTGTGTTGGTCATCAAATTATCATAGCCTTTCTCTTTCTCTTGTATTGTAGACTGGCCATGTGAAAAAGTAGACACTAAGCAAGATAGGAGCAGAGTTTTGTAGACAATTTAAAAAACATTACTAAAAAATGAACGAACTATCATTCCCTTTCTCTTTCTCTTGTACTGTAGACTGGCCATGTGAAAAAATAGACACTAAGGCCTCGTTTGGGAACCCTCCATTTTAGTTAAAAAGCCAAAAAGTACTAAATTAGCCAAAAAGCCAACAATTCATACAAAAAAGTCAAAGATTCTCTTTTCTCTCTACTTTTTGCACATCTTTTCGTAAAAAGCCAAAAAGTCATTCCAAACATACTAGTTTTTTTTAACTCATATTTTAGCCAAATAGCCAAAAAGTTACTAAATTAGCCTGTTTCCAAACGAGGCCTAAGCAAGACAGGAGCAGAGTTTTGTAGAAAATTTTAAAAACATTACTAAAAAATGATTGCACCCAGTAAACAAGGCTCACGCTTATAGCAGGGTTTTTGTGGAGAGGTTGATTGAATTCACGCCACAAGGATGGGTGTGGACCAAGAAGCACGAATACGTGGCATGACACGGACACACCGGCACAGAATTTTTAAAAAAATATGGGATACGACACGTGGGGAATACATAAAAAATATACAATTTCATATATTTATTATATTTTATATATAAGGATAAATAATTATTATATGTCATATATATGACTATTCAAGTAAAAATGATAAAATAACTTGGATTCCAAGTTTTTTTATTCAAACTTGTAATATGTTTTAAGTGTTGAAAGTGTCTGATGTGTATTGTGTTGGTGTCGGACATGACACGTTACCTTCTTAGAAGTGTCCGTGCTCCTTGGGGTGTGGATAACACTTGCCATTGCACCAGGTCATGACCTCTAACTTAAAAAAACACCAAGAAACTTTTTTAACTTGAAACAAATATTACTAAGAAAAATAGTTCAAGTTGAGTGCTAAATTTTTCGTTCTTCTAGATTGTGGTTGAGAGTCAAGGAAGGTATTTGGATATTCAGCTGAATGACAGGATTTGGGGTCAATGCATCCGAAGCTTTATTGTCATGCAAGAATGTAAATTCATGCTGTAAAATTCCAAAATAATATCTGTTAGAATTTACCATAAACCTACCACCACTACCACCTCACCTACTCCACTAAACCTAACCCACTACACCACTACCACCTCCACTTCACCTACTCTCCACCTACTCCCAAACACACTCCTATATAATAGGAATCCTTGTAATTGTAATAAACACACAATAACAATATATCAATCAATAATACATATATTTTTTACAATATCTGCAGAAGGTTGATGCTTACTATTTTTGTGATGTTATCTTCATAATAATGAAAAGAATGAACTATGAAGTGTTCTGCTGCTTGTTTAGGCCGACACTGTGATTTCTGTAATAAATACAGCTGTGTTGCTAAACTGTCTTAACTTTTTTTTATTATTTATTTTTAACGGCCTTAGATTTTGTTCTGGGAGTTACATTTCAGAAAGCCTTTTCTTTTTGTATATTACTTCATATACTTGTATTGAGTCCTTTTGATCCTTCCTTTTCTTGTATTGGCAGCCACAATATGTGGATGGTGTGAAATCGCTTCCAAAACCTTCACCTGCACTTGTGGCTGACTGTCATTCGCCAGTGAAAAAGGAAGGTGATAAACAAGATGAGGAGGTTGGTACACAGATTATTATTGTTGTTAATATTGTTATGTTAGGAAAATTATTATTTTAATGATGGTAAGTAATGAATGTAGTTGTAATAAGAAATTAGGAAAACAATGTATCAGGGAAATTGGAGTTTAAGTATGGAGATGGGTTGGCACAATACAGAATGCATGGAAAATATTTAGTTGCGTGTCTGTTTTAAAATCTCTTGTTACCTGAGCTTCAAGTGTTTGTTTAATTTGGTTTTATAATTTCTTTAAAACAACTTGGGTAGGTTCAATTTACCCTTATAACAACAAAATTAATATTGAGGTTCCATGCATGATTCTACTGCTGCATATAAACACAAATATTGAATTTGATCGTTCCTTTTTGGATGTTGTTGAGATGGAGAATTGGACCAAGAATTCTCTTTCTTCATCGTTAATCGAATCAATGTTGGTGACCCAATGGTTCATAGTGTCAAATTTTGTGAACTTTTCAGATGGGTTGGGTTTGTAGTTGCTTTTAACAACCTTTTGATGATGTTAGGGATATTATAAATCATCCTTTGCAATCATCATTAGTCATCAACTTTTGATGATGTTACAAATATTTATCTAGTGTTTAATAATGGTGGTAGCTGCATATTTTCCTGTACTACTGTGTCTTCTATGTTTTATTGATATTTCATTTTATTACTTTGTATCTAGACATTGTCCAAAGAAACGAGGGAAATAATTATCAAAGAAAGATAAGATTCTTGTTGGTTAAATTAGTATATTTGTCCTGAGTCTCTGTGTTTCTGTGGTGTCTTTTTCTAGACTAGCAATTTCTTAATATAACTTGGTGATTACCTTTCTTTTTTCAAAACTAGGTGCATAGTCACGTACCAACTCATTGGGGATGCGAGTTCTACACTAAGCACTTTGCAAGCGCATTAGTTTGGGAGTGGCAAGGCAGGTAGGGTAGATCCCTATTGCATCACCTGGGTTGGTCCTTGGGCATAATGCACGGGGTACGCAGTACCACTCGTGGAGCCGGCTTCTCAGGAGGATAACAAGTGCCCAGTCTCTTACAAGTGGTATCAGAGTTAGCCTAGGGGCACTGTGATGGGGATGATATGTGGGATTTATACTAAGCACCTTCATTGTGGGGTTCACACCAAGGGTGGTGTCTGCGCGGGGCGGGTTTTCCATGGGTTGGGGAACGGACAAGCATGGAGGCAGGCAGGATAATGTCCCCCTGACAAGGGCGTTAGGGATTGACAGCGGTAGCATGCCATGTGTTAAAATTGATGTATAAAGAGAAATAGAGAATTGTATTATTGATTGATATATTGATTGATTGTTTACAAGATTTTTGTGTTGATTAATTACAATTCCTATACAATCTATATATAGAAGAAAATGTGGTAGTAGGTGTAGTGGAGGTGATAGTGGGTTAGGTGAAGTGGAGTGTGTGGTGAAGTGGAGATAGGTGAAGTGGAGTGTGTAGTGGAGTAAGTGAAGGTAAAGATTGATTGATGTATTGATGTATTACAAGATTGATTAATTACAATTCCTATACAATCTATATATAGAAGAAAATGTGGTAGTAGGTGTAGTGGAGGTGATAGTGGGTTAGGTGAAGTGGAGTGTGTAGTGGAGTAAGTGAAGGTAAAGATTGATTGATGTATTGATGTATTACAAGATTGATTAATTACAATTCCTATACAATCTATATATAGAAGAAAATGTGGTAGTAGGTGTAGTGGAGGTGATAGTGGGTTAGGTGAAGTGGAGTGTGTGGTGAAGTGGAGGTAGGTGAAGTGGAGTGTGTAGTGGAGTAGGTGAAGGTAAAGATGGGAAATTCTAACACCATGTATCAACTCATTGGAGATGTGAGTTTTACACCAAGCACCTTGCAAGTGCATTGGTTTGTGAGCGGCAAGGCAGATCTCTATCGCATCACCTGGGTTGGTTCTTAGGTATAATGCATGGGGTTACGCAGTAGCACTCATGAAGTCGGCTTTTCGGCAGGATGAAAAGCGCCTAGTCTGTGACAAGTGGTATCAGAGCCAGTCTAGGGGCACTGTGATGGGGACGGTACGTGGGACTTACATCAAGCATCTTCATTGTGGGGTCCACGCCAAGGGTTTCCCTTGGGTAGGAGAACGGACAAGCATGGAGGTAGGCAGGGTAATGTCCCCCTGACAAGGACGTCAGGGATTAACGGTGGTAGCATGGCACGTACTGACTCATTGGGGATGCAAGTTCTACACCAAGCACCTTGCAAGCGCATTAGTTTGTAAGCGGCAAGGGAGGCAGGGTAGATCCTTATTGTATCACCTGGGTTGGTCCTTGGGTAATGAACGGGTACGCAGTACCACTCGTAGAATTGACTTCTCGGAAGGATGACAAGCACCCAATCCGTGACAACACGCTCAGTTTTAGCCAATGCTTGAATGCAATTTGTTAAAATCCACCTACTCTCCACCTACTTCACCCACTTAAACCTAACCCACTACACCACTACCACCTCACCTACTCCACTAAACCTAACCCACTAAATCCACATACTCTCCACCTACTTCACCCACTTAAACCTACTCCACTAAACCTAACCCACTAAATCCACATACTCTCCACCTACTTCACCCACTTAAACCTACTCCACTAAACCTAACCCACTACACCACTACCACATCACCTACTCCACTAAACCTAACCCACCACCTACTCTCCACCTACTTCACCCACTTAAACCTACTCCACTAAACTCAACACATACCTCCTCTCCTTTCACCTTGGTCTCACCTTTCCGATGCTCTAGTCTATACCATTGAGGTGCCAAAGGGCTATCTGGTGGAACCCTTGTAGGCACTTCATTCATGTCGAAAGTCACTTTCGCTATAATATCATCACCACCTTCATCGGCATCATCCAAGTCGGCAACGGCAGCTTCGAAAGCGCCCTCTTCACAATCATCCCTCTCTACTACCCTTTACTGGGTACACTCTGGGCACAGTACCATGCCTGACCGGTTCAGGCCCTTGACCAAGGAAGCCCCAAGCCCACTTGTTAGGTGGCCTTGGTTCATAGCTCTTGCTTTCCTTTTGTATGCCTGGAGAACAGTCTTGTGGGAGTTGTCCAACTGGAAAAAGGTTTTATCAAGTACTACCCAGTTCGTGGGATACCTCTTAAAACTTGCACTGGCCCTTATTTTCCATTTCATTGGTGATCCAGTAACTTCTCTGATCAGAGGAATAGAAACTACACTTTACACCATTCGAGCTTTCTACTCAGCAGTGATAGCATATACTCCTATTCCAGAGCTGACTCTGATCATCGTGCTTGTGTCTTCCGTAATTGCCATTGCTGAAGCTTCTGTTCCAGACTCTGTAGACAGCCAACCATACCTTCTTACAGTAGCTGGCTTAATCGGTTTTGCAGCCGTGAGAGACTTCATCTCCGAGCTGTCCTTCTGGACGCTCCTATTGGGATTGTTTGGTTTTGCTCGGTTTGTTAAGAAGAGGGATTATGTTTCTCCTGTGACAGCTACTCCGAATCCAGATGTTCTCATCTGTACACTGATGTTTTCCATCGCTGAAACAAAGTTTGGGACGTAGATTTTGCTGTACCACTTGGCATATACCACTCCACTTCCTTTTCCTCTCATCTTCTCCGATGCTCAGATTCTCCAACCCATATTTTTTCCTTTTTTCTTTCCACACACTCCTGTTCCCCACTCAACTTTCTTTTTCTTTTTTTTAATTTATTATTTTACTCCATCTTTTGAAAAGAAAACGAAACACAAATTGATTCTTTTTCTTATATATATATATATATATATTTCTTTTTCTTCTTTCCACCGCCACATGACCCCGTAAACTGTCTTCTACATCGGTCCGACATGACCCCATAAACTGTCTTCTACATCGGTCTGACACCGCCATCCAGTGTCCTCTACACCGTTATGACACCACCATACAGTGTCCTCTACATGGTTATAACACCCCCATACAGTGTTCTCTACAACGTTATGACACCACCATCCAGTGTCTTCACCAATGGTCTGACACGACCATACAGGGTATGTTTGGTTTGTGTTTGAGAGATGTGTTTTAGAGATAAAAAGTACGAAAACATGTTTGGTTTGGTTTTTTTTAAAAGATGTTTTGGAAAATTATTTTGAGGTAGAGTTTTGGAAAAAGTGATTGATTTGATGTGTGTGAGAGAGAGATTTGTTTGGAAAACTTGTTTGGTTTACAAGTTTTGAGAAATTTTTTTGGGAAAATTTGTTTGGTTTGTGAGTTTTACACCAAGCACCTTGCAAGTGCATTGGTTTGTGAGCGGCAAGGCAGATCTCTATCGCATCACCTGGGTTGGTTCTTAGGTATAATGCATGGGGTTACGCAGTAGCACTCATGAAGTCGGCTTTTCGGCAGGATGAAAAGCGCCTAGTCTGTGACAAGTGGTATCAGAGCCAGTCTAGGGGCACTGTGATGGGGACGGTACGTGGGACTTACATCAAGCATCTTCATTGTGGGGTCCACGCCAAGGGTTTCCCTTGGGTAGGAGAACGGACAAGCATGGAGGTAGGCAGGGTAATGTCCCCCTGACAAGGACGTCAGGGATTGACGGTGGTAGCATGACACGTACTGACTCATTGGGGATGCAAGTTCTACACCAAGCACCTTGCAAGCGCGTTAGTTTGTAAGCGGCAAGGGAGGCAGGGTAGATCCTTATTGTATCACCTGGGTTGGTCCTTGGGTAATGAACGGGTACGCAGTACCACTCGTAGAATTGACTTCTCGGGAGGATGACAAGCACCCAATCCGTGACAACATGCTCAGTTTTAGCCAATGCTTGAATGCAATTTCTAGTAAAGACTTTGGGCTTCCAGCTAGTCACTATGTAACTTTGGATAATGATATACAAACATAATTTTCATACAAAAATTTCTTATAGAATGACATGGCCTTTTATGGTCCTTTCATTTTGAGTCAAAACACAGGTAACTTTGTTCTCATACCATCGTTTATCTCAGTACACACCATTTGTGCCTTTTGGATATCAACTTTCAAACAACAAATAAAATATTCGAATATCTACCTCTAAACAAAAATCAATGTTTGAACAAAAGTCTCGTTCGATAGTTGATATTTGAACATTTTTATGTTGTTCGAAAGTTGATATTAGAATGATATAAATGGTGTTTATTGAGACAATGTCTGGTGTGCAAATAGAATCAAACTCAAAACACCCATTATTGTGGTTCATATTTACAAGATTGCCATTGCCACATCATTTTGGATGTTTTTTTTTTTGTGTCAAATTCTGTTTATAAATAATTTTCCTTTAACTTTTAAAAGGATAACGTTGTGAGGTTTGATATCTTCTGTTATTTAGTGTAGGAGGATAGTTTTTCTTAATACGGGTAATTAGGCTTTTAGGGTTATTATTTTTTGTCTATTTAACTCGTAATTTGTTTTGCTAATTATCATTGAATACAATACAATATTTTGGTCAGCTGTATTAATTAAATGTGCCTGTAGAAAAGTAACGGAGGGGAAATAGTGGTAGCCACATTATCTGTTTATGCACATTAGGGTGCTTGGTGAATGATGTCTGGCCCCTCTTTTCTCTCATTGTTTTCCCCTTTTTTTAAATTTGTTTTTCTGTCTCAACCCCGACTCTGGGGCTGGGGTTCAGAATGATGTAATATAATTTGTTAAAATTGCATTGTATCTCTAATTAAGACTAGAGTTATAACCCCACATTATACTGAAATAACAACACTGTTGAAGTTAAAGGCTGAATGCATTGTGTTCCTGTAAATTAATCATGATTCTTCATGTGTTTTAAAGATAGTTACTACAGTTCTAAATGGTTAGATCTAAACGTGCTCATCAGTTGCATTCTCTTATTTGTAATGGAGAATTCTTTTTTCCCTTTTTCTGCCCTGATTGCAAGATAATACCCAATTATATTTATGATATGACTGGAATCAGCATGAAAAAACTTTCCACTTGAAATTGAGGTTATTTAGTTGTTGTTATTGAGTAACTTGTTACTTTTGTGAATTTCTTCTTCTCATTACCAAATGAAAATTCTGTTTTGTGAATTTCTGTTTTTAATATATTGATTACTATCAATAAAGTGGATGTCTTATTTCTGTCTGTTGATTTTATTTTGGATCTGCCCATCTCTGTGTTCACTCATGCGCTTTACTATCAGTGTCTATTTATGTGTGTTGTGTGCGAAAATTTGTTTGTGTCATTCAGTTTAAGAAGCAATATGCTGGTATGTGCTTTCAGGAGGAATGTGTTGAGCATTTATCTCCAACCGACCTGTTACACAGACATGTCAAGCGTGCTAAAAAGGTTCGAGGCCGGTAAGTACCATTTTTACCATGTGTACCATTTCTCATGCTTGTAGTCTATTACTTGTCAGAAATCATAATTTGTTTAGATATTGTAAATGAATGCATATTGGAGGTTCAGTCCTAATTTGGCTAAGTTGGGCTTTATGGGATGCAACATATTCATGGTTATAGCTTGAGTACTGAGTTATGTAAATCTCTTATTGTGCGTACTGTTTCTCTTTGAGACACACATAGATGATGTATATAACAATTAAAATTAATACAGCAAAAGAGAAGAATAAGAGAAGGAGAATAAACGTTATTCGGTTATTGAGAGGTCATGTAAATGTTAAACATTGATATAAAAGTTTTAGTGGATTTATTTTTTATGCACGTTGTCGTGCCTCCTTTTTTCGATTACTCAATGCTCATGTTGATTTGACTCTATTTTTCGTAGTGTGGACAACACCAAGGGATTTTTATCCATTTTTTGGGTATGGGAGATACTTGTTGAATTATATCCATTTTCTTCATGTTGAATGTGCAAGAGTATTGTACTTTTGCATAGTATCTGAATAATTTTTTTATTTACTCCCTGTGGACAATCATTCAATTCTCTTTTAACGTTGAATCCAATTTGTTAGACGAATTATGTGTCAATTGTCTATCACAGGAAAAAAATAGTGAAGAAATTCTACTAATTTTTTCGAGGAAAAAGCTTATTGTAAGCATTAATAGCCGCCTCTTATGTTTTGTGTGTAGATTAAGGGAAGAACGGCTACAACGAATTGCAAGGTACAAAACTAGGCTTGCTCTGCTCTTACCCCCACTTATAGAGCAACAACCATTCAGAAATGACGCAGCTGCTGGGAACTGACCTAAAACTTGTATGATCTGTGACATTGTTGCTGATATTGGGCTCCCTCGTCGAACATTGTGCTGAAATTAATAGATTCATGATTGTTGTTCTTTCAATGCTGGAGTGAGAAATAGTAGGAGTCAATTTTGGTGGCGTAATGTTATTGAAAAGCTGGTGGATTAGAGTGAGTGAAACAAATGCTGTATCAATTCATTTGGCTTTGTTCTTGAACAATGTAGCTGTAGATTGTTTAGTTAGCTTTGTCCTTAAGACGGGCCTCAAGATGGAATGGAATATGTTTTGAAATTCTATTTTGATAAAGAAACTTTGTGAAGAAATCGGTTTTTTTGGCTCGTCTGAAATTTGACCTGAATTTTAATGACAGGAAGTTGATATGCTACATTTGGATTGCTATGCATGGCAGATTGCCAGGGCTTGTTTTACATCGAATGTCACATCCAATGTTTCGATGGGATTATTTGGTGCAATTTATATAAGTTACTTATAATTTTTTTTTTTAATAATTATTTTGGAAGTATATGTTAGTGTCGTTTCTATTTATAGTTTATTAATAAAAATTGATTATCTAGAAAGTTGAGGGATTGGTACTTTTGCCTGTTTGTTCCTTTTTTTTTTTTTTATTATTAGTTTTTAATTTATAATAAATTAAAGTTGAGGGATTGGTACTTTTGCCTGTCTGTTCCTTTTTTTTTTTATTATTAATTTTTAATTTATAATAAATTGTACTAAATCAGCTTGTTATATAGACGTGCAGTGTCCATCCTGCTTAAAAATGTATAAATGCTCACGTGATATATTTGTTATATGGGATGTGTTTTGTGAGTTGAGATTCTCGGGCTCTTTCATTGCCTTCCTTCTTGCAGCAGTAGAGATATACTTTAAGTTGATCTAACGGTTTAGATTTGGGCAAAAAAAGTAAATTTGAATTTTCTTTATTATTTTTTTATTTTTAAATAGTTAAATTTGAACCGTTGGATTAACTTAAAGTGTATTTTTACCGCAATGTAAAAAAAAAAAAAATTTAAAAAGAGGATCTCGACTCGTGGATCATGACTTTAAAGTTATGATTGGTTGTGCCATTGAATTATAATTTCAAACATATTGCGTTGTAATTTAAAGCATATGGTGTCAACTAGGTAGTGCACATTGCACACGGTGCTCACTATGATTAAGCCTAGTTAAATATAGGATTTAGGTGGTTAAAACCAATGAAGTGGTTTTTAACCAGTCTTTAATTCCCCCTTATTGTCCGCCTTGTTTCCGGGGTGTGTTTGGCATGGGTAATTAATTACATGTAAAAGGACAATCATTTCTCTGCATTGTCTTTCGGGTTAACATGTGCATTCTCATATTTTTATTGTAAGGCTGCTTACCATATGTACTAGAATTTTAGTATTTTAATTAAAAAATTCCTAGGTAAAGACCATAGTTACTCTAATTCATCCCTAACCAATACCATTGTTTCATAGCTAAAACCACCATCCAAACACCACCAACTTCACAACTAAGATTTATGCTTCTACCACTTTGGTATTGTTTATGAGATTACTTACAATTTTTTTTTTTTTAATTTAAAAAATTTATGTCCAAGTATTTTGTAAAGTCTTTTTACTTACAATTTATCATATTTTAACTTGTAAAAAACTATATCAAACAAGCTTATTGTTTTCATTATTTTTCTTTATAGAATTTTATTGTAATGTTTCTCTTTCTTTTCTCATTTTCTCTTCCTTGAAAGGCCAGTGGAGAAACCAAATTACATATTGAAGACTTGACTTAAGCTCCGTTTGGAAAGTTGGTTTGTGGGTTTTTTTTGGCTAAAATAGTCACAAAAAATAAAATAGACTTTTTAGTCTAATAAGATAAAGCATCACATCCAATTCATAATTATTACATCCTTTCTGTCACAAAAAGTCAAAGGTCTTTCTCAAACCAGGCTTTTTAACCCCATGCTAAAATAGCCAAAAAAGTTAAAAAGTCAAAAAACCAACCCACTTTTCAAACGGAGCCTTAGTTTGTGGTTGAACTCACTAGTCCATAGAGAGAGAGAGAGAGAGGTGGTTTGGTTGAGCCTCGGTTCTCTCCTTGCAGCCTCGTACTTGCGCTCGTCCTTGCAGGCTTTCGGGCCTACTTTTAGGCCTAGTTTTAATAATCCGAACCGTTCATATTTTATGATTTATTCAGTATATCATACCTGTAAAAAATCAAGTTGATCGGATATCAGAAAGTATGAGAAACCAAATTACATATTGAAGACTTGACTTAAGCTCCGTTTGGAAAGTTGGTTTGTGGGTTTTTTTGGCTAAAATAGTCACAAAAAATAAAATAGACTTTTTAGTCTAATAAGATAAAACATCACATCCAACTCATAATTATTACATCCTTTCTGTCACAAAAAGTCAAAAGTCCTTCTCCAACCAGGCTTTTTAACCCCATACTAAAATAGTCAAAAAAGTTAAAAAGTCAAAAAGCCAACCCACTTTCCAAACGGAGCCTTAGTTTGTGGTTGAACTCACTAGTCCATAGAGAGAGAGAGAGAGAGAGAGAGAGAGAGAGAGGTGGTTTGGTTAGCATGGAGAAACCAAATTACATTTTGAAGACTTGACTAGTTTGTGGTTGAACTCACTAGTCCATAGAGAGAGAGAGAGAGAGAGAGAGAGAGAGAGAGAGAGAGAGAGAGAGGTGGTTTGGTTAGCATACCATTTTATGATTTCTATGCACCACAACTGGTGGTCTGATGCTATTATTTGATTTTCTTCTCATAATTATTAGTTGCCATGATAGAAATTCCCACTCCAAGCCAAGGCCCAATCTACATCTATATTTTTATGATTGTATTGATTCATAAATTTAAGAAGAAATTTGGAAAAAAAAAAAAAGTATGTATTGAAAAAAAAAAAAAAAAGTATGTAAATTAAATAAAATATAAATATATTTTAGTCATATTTTATTTATTTTTTTATTTTCTAAATCTCTCTACAATTTCATGAATCAAACACAACCTATGTATATTGATTTTCGTTCTGACTTGGTTTTCCTTGGATTTGAGAATCTAATTTCCTTCATAGGTACGTTTTCTCATTGACCCACAAGCCTTCACACGCATCTCTCGTTTCCTTTTTCTTCTAATAATTATATCAGTCACCAAGGATAGAAAACGCCATTCAAAGTCTTGGAAAATCGATATAATTCTTTTATCATTAGTCTTTTTGTTTTTTGTTTTTCAAAAACAAAAAAATTGTTCGGTAAACTGTTTTTGTTTTTATATATATTTCAAAAAAAAAAAAGGTGTGCATATTTTTTGACATTTTATTATTTTTATTTTTAAAAACACCAAAAACAAAAATCATACAAAATAGATACATTTGGATCACGAGTTATGACACCAAATTCATTAACAACTCAGTCCAAATTCACATGCCAACGTAGTCAATTTTTGACATTTTGGACTCACCATGCCAAGCCAGCACCAATACCAGACAGAGAGAGAGGGAGAGATATCCCAATAGGAAGTTGGTAAAAATGTAATGATGTCACGAGCCATCTAGATAGAAATATAAGATTACAAATAATAATAATAATGATAATAATAAGGATTATTTACCAATAAATCCTATTTCACAAACTGTTATACCAAACAGTCTCACTTTTATTCTATTATACCAAATAGTCCTGTTGGTGGGTTGATTTGGTCCTTTTTGATTTTTTTTTTTTGTTTTACTGCGTGGACGAGAGTGCCCTGTGTGTGTCTCCCCGATCAAGGCTCTGTGCTATCCGCTTATACTCCAACTGAAACACACACCATGTGAAGCACACACTGCAACGCATATCCAACAATCCAAAGCCTCAAAGGCTTCGTCGGAGACTCCTTCCGACTCACCACCAACATCGACAAAGCAACGAACACGAACGCGAAGTTCCACAACAGATCCAGAATCACGATCGGCTTCAAGTACGCCCAATCGCTCTGCCTCTCTTCGATCTGCTCCGCCGCCGCCTCTCTTACCCTCAACTCTGGCTCGCGCATCATTCTCCGACTGCCGCGGAGGCTCGGCGGGCGGCGCACGAATCGGCGGCTCAGGAAGATCTGATCGGTCAGCAACGGCGTCGCATCGATTAGCTATTGTGTGTGTGTGTGTCTACCCCTCGCAATGTATGTGTGTATCTGTGTGTGTGTATCTGTGTGTGTGTCTGTCTGTGTGTATCTGTGTGTGTGTGTATCTGTGTGTGTGTGTCTGTGTGTGTGTATCTGTGTGTGTGTGTATCTGTGTGTGTGTGTGTCTGTCTGTGTGTATCTGTGTGTGTGTGTCTGTCTGCCCCTCACAATGTATGTGTGTATCTGTGTGTGATAGAAGAAAGATGGGACTAAACGGTTCAATAGAATAAAAATGGGACCAATTGGTTCATAAGTTCAAATTTTGGGATTTATTGGTAAATCTCCCTAATAATAATCAGCGTGTTTTGTTTGAATTTCTTGGATTAATTTTTTTGAAAATTGAGTTTTTTGATTTTCGTATTTTTTTGTTTTTAGTGAATATTTTTAAAGTTTTAAACATTTTTTTTTACTTTTTTAGATGCACTTTACTTAAATATATCTAAAAAGTAAAAAATTTGTAAAAAAAGAAAATTAATTATAGTGGTGAGAAAAAATTCTTAAAAATATCTAAAAAGTAAAAAATTTTTAAAAAAAAAAAAATAAGTCGTTTTGGGGTCCTTTTTTTTTTTTTTTTCTCTATCCTTTTATGTCTGAAGTAGAGCAAAGAGAGAAGAGAGATGCGAGAAGAGGAAGAGGGTCGACGATCACCGTCGTTGGAGCCGAGGGTAGACGATATGAGAGAAGAGGGTCAACGATCGCCGAGCAGAGAGAGCACAGAGAAGAGGTCGATGATCGCCATCGTTGGCGCCGAGGGCCAAGGGTTGAAGAAGAAGATGATGATGATGATGCTGATCTGTTTTCTCTATAATTTTTTTTTTAGTTGTTCTGGATCTGAAAAATAAAATAATAAAAAAAATTGTTGATGATGATGATAATGGTGATGATGTTGATGAAGATGTTGATGAAACCCAGCCAACTCCTGTGGAGCTCCTTCTTCTTCTTCAGTTTCAGAAAAACGCAAAAAAAAAAAGAAAAAGAAAAAAAAGTACCAAAACGACGTCGTTTTGGTGTCGTTTTGGTGTCGGGCCATTCAAGCCATGCCAATTTCAAGCTACCAACCGGAGTTGTTAAAAAAATTAATGAATACATAAAAATATAAAAAATGTACTGAATTCTCGTATTTTTTTTTTATATTTTTGGTATTATGTGAATTTTTAAAAGGTTTTTTTCACAATTTTTTTTTTTTTACTTTTTAGGTATATTTATGTTAGGTATGTCTAAA